GAGCCCAAGACAGTCCCTGCGGAGGCGCCAAAAGCGTCGTCGGAAACGAAGAAACGAGGAAACAACTGTGACGACAGGCAGGCAGGCCACTGGTCACTACCTCTACACACCCTGCCGCCTCATGAACCCCAAGGCCCCAAGTCTCAGACGGGGTCGTCGATGGTTCATCGCAACATTGTCAGGGCAGCACTGACCATGGCGGAATCAAGCCGTCCTCGACAGGCAATTGACCTCTGAATCTCCAAATTCTCAATGGTACGCAAGGTGGGGAGACAACAGACAGGCTTTGTACTAAGTCTGGGACAGGCAATCGCTCAGACTTTTGTTTCGTCACGCAAAGTGTCTATAGTTAGTCCCTATGTGGGACGCTTGGGTGTCATTCATGTTATAGGACTAGGATGGCTGATTGAGGGCAATGTAAGTCGTCGACACCAGGATCAACCCACCCAACATCGCCTTGGATCATGTGCACTGATTATCATAATAGCACTCCAAGGCACTCTCGTTGGGTGCTTGAGCCGCTACATATGCAGCTCCTTCACCACATCACAAATGGTGAACCTGCTCCCTGCACAACACGGGACTGTGGACAATGAGTTCCAAAATGCCTTTCTGCAGGCTCAGAATCAAAAGGTCCACCTAGCTGGATATGATATGCCAAATCCTACCAGGGACCATACATATCGGCCAGTGTGTGTCGAACAGCACGCATGTACCAGTGGACAGCTGGTAAACTGTGTGATCTGCTAGCAGCCCGTCGCAGCTGTAAATCTCGAAAACCACAACCTTGAAAGCTCCGGACACACATCATCCCCTTCGAGTCTTCTTGTCTGTAAAGGGCATGGTCGGGTACCAGTCACGACTTGTTTCTAAGAATGGGCCTTCATCTGACCTTTCATAGGCCGCACGTATTCAGCTTTCATCCAATCATGTCCTGGTCAAAGTAGCCAATCGCACCTCAACCTTTGGCGGTAAACATCCCGAGAAGATGCGCTAGTAACAACGAGCCCGGTATTGATTACATAGCACGCGCGACGACAGTCCTTGATAGTGACAGCCGCCGCAACTCCCACACTTGCTGACACGGAAATTTTCGAACCGGGCGGAATGCGACTATAATATACATCTACTTGACTTTTACTTCGACAACTTTCCCATATGGAACCAAAGGACTCCGCACCTTGGTCTCCTATGAGCAGGTCCGCGCGTTTCTATATTTAACGCTGAACTTGCCAACACAAGGGACTCCCCTGGCTGTAATGGCATGCTGGACACCATCTCCCACCGTATCTGCTACGTATAACATACATAAGAAACCCCAAAGGAGACACCCGGGAACAGTGACATGATCAAACGTTGCCATGAGAGCACCACAATCAAGTTATGAGGCAACTTTCAGTACGCCTTTATGGTTGCATTCCGGCAGGCGGTTCAACCCTCTCAACAGCATGCTACTTTTGGACAATCGGCCTAATCTGGCTGCCGGAGGGCATCTCCAGGTGGAAGACTCTAAGCTGGAGGACCTCATGCCGAAATGTACAGTTATCATGAACTCTGATGGCTAAAAAGACCTGACCAAGATCACCGTTCCGGCTGTGACGTTCGGCACTTTGGCCTGAACGGTTTTACCGATATACACTGCCCTCTTCCGCCTACTCAATACGGGCTGTTGTCCGCCCATCCCTGTACAAGCCAGCCGCCGTCGCTACTGGTGTAAGAAACGGCGTTTAACAACGCTTACCAGTTTCACTTGATGTTCACACATTGTGCTTTGCTAGCTGGCGATGCGGCATTCATCAGAACGCATTTTATCGGTGTTACCCTAAAGCCTGCCAGCGTTAGCTGCCACAAGTCATCGCCGCTCCTATAGCGTCCTGTACGCACCAAACGCAGGGGCATGAGAGGACAGAGAATAGCACGTCGCGCCATATTAAATGGAACTACATCCCTTGTCGTGTACTTCCTATTGGTTATATTCCTGTGAGACTTGACTTCCCTTCACGCTCTCACTCACCATTCGTCCCGGTATCGATGATACAGCCTAATGCCTATGGTTTGCGGGCAAGGCGAGGCGTCAGTCTTAAGGGCACGAGGAGGCTTTGGAGCACCCAAGATGAAAGAAGAAGGTTCGATTCGTCTGATTGCAGAGGATTACTCTACACGAGCATGCCAATCACGTCCAAGTAAAAGAACAAAAAGAAAGAAAAGATTGACAGAAATAAAGGTCTGGCACAGTGGTACATTCGCCCACGAGTTCGCCGCGCAGGGCGAATGCAACGGTAATTGATGCTCGTCATCTGCTCGGTGATCGACTAGCCAGTAACCAAGAACCAACAGCGAGTCCATCCATGCTGTTTGATGGTAAGTACGAATTGGATCATGGCGACGACTGGGGGTTCAATCCTACACAGTGAACTTCTGACTGCCTGGCCAGCCTCGTTTTCAAAATTTAACAGGCGCAGCAGAGCAGATGTGGGCCAAGGCAAGTTTATTCCAAACCCTATAATCATCCATAGCGTGGTCATCATATCTGATGCTGATATTTAGTAACCAGTCCGCTAAAATGCAAAGTGGCGAACAGCCCGTGGTCCTCTCTCAACCACCGTAAGCCACTGCGAGTCTGGCAATGTCACGCAATATGCCCTGTCAAGTTGGATGAGATATGCCGCTCTTGAACACCAGCTTGCGCTTTGGGAAAACTATAGGTCCTGCCCATCAGAGGCTCGATTGTAAGTGCAGAATCCTTGTGCAATAGCCATGTGCCGAAGGAGGATCAGGGGGTGGGAGTCGAGCATGGTATTGAAAACGGTGGTTAACAACGGCGACTCGTCAGCAATTTGCACATCTGAAGCGGTCGCGGTTGTCGTTGCCCAGGGTATTGACACTAGCAGCAAGACTTCAAATGTCCCTGGTCAGGCTGCTCCTTGGTAAACCGTCAGTCCGATGCGGTTACCAAGCCTTCAGAGTCGGGCGAACCAATGCCAGTGTGTGTGTTGGCCATCGGACAAGGTACCGATACAGGGACGACCGAGGTCGAAGGCCAGCAGTCCACCAATTCACCCCTGAACAGGCGCCATGTCACCCAATAGACTGGTGGTGTTCTCGACACACCCCATACCGTTCTAGCGACACTCGTTTGCCCTTTCGCTTCTCCCTAGTAGGGGATGGTGGAGAAATTGAATCGTTGACGGATCTACGGCGTACGGCGTACCGTTGTAAAAGCGATGTTGCGCACAGTAGATTTGACAATGAGGCCTCACTTTCCGTCACTTATACCACTCCCATCAACCGGGAGGAACCATTCAGAAACGTCGTCATCTATTTTTCTTCTTCTCATGACCTCATACGGTCTTTGATGTACACTACCATCCCAGCGGTGCACGGTTTGGCCGGAGATCTAGGGAGTTGGTGGTGGTGCTGCCTCCCAGTGCGGCCGCTTCCCGCTCGCTTCCCGCTCACGGACACCAGTGATCAGGGCATCATTGATCAGGCTGGCGCGGTGCGCCCCTCCATATGTACTTGGTCTCGTCACTCCGGGCTTCTCCGCCATTGCCTAGAGCTGGCTGTTGCCAGAGGCACATTCCACTTGCAAGAAGGTACATGGACTCTTCTAATCAACCAAAACCATGGCAACAAAGGACATTTATTGATTTGCACCATGTTGAGAAGAAGAAGCAGGCAGGCTGGGCTCGAAGTGGATGGATGTTTTCGGTCATACAAGCTGCGCGGATACCGGCCACTTGCTAGCGATACACGAGGCCCATTTCGGTTATGTGTTCCCGGCAGCGGTCGAACAGACGCATAATCGCGCGTTAAATGGACACCAAGCGCTCCGCAATTACATGCAAAGAGGAGGTGTGCGTCTACCAGGCTCCAGCACCAGCAACTCTACACTTATCATCTAGATGCTCACCACGTACCTAGTACTTGTTGATGAAAGCTCCGACCATCTGCTCCCTCGTGCGTTTCCTGCTTACCAAGCGTTAAAAAGGTGAACAGCGCGGTCGGCATTGGTTGAGCTGAATGGGTAGTTCTACCTATATCCGAGTTGCTGCATGCTGGCCGCGTCTCTGGATTCCATCAGTTGCGGGGGTGTTTTTCAAGGTCGCAAAGGCCGAGGAAAAGGCGCGCCAAACAGCCCGAGTCTTACATGTGCATCATCCCGGCTATCGCCATCCAGTCTTTATTCCATGGGTCTTGCTCTCTGACGTGTCATACCCTTGCTGCTCCGAAAAGGAAGACACAAAAGGAAACACAGGCTCACACGCAATCTCTCTCGCACACACGCCGAGAACTCGACCCATTACTCGCGACTTTGTTTGTTACCACATTTACACTACTACCGACGGAAACTCTGCAACGACCGGCCCGGAGGGAAGAGCCGCCAACGGTCAAATAGATACCTGATACATGCATCAAACCTTTAGCAATTTCCAGTATCATCAAGCGCGGACCAGTGGGCTGGTTGGTCATTCGAGTTAGCAAGCATCTCGTCGTACTTGAAGGACGTTTCGTTGCTGGCATTCAGGACGCAGCCAGTCTTCGCAGTATAGATCTGGGTCCGTTGTAAAACGCGTTGCTGAGAGAGGTCGGTCGGTGTTTCTTTTGTTCCTTTCGTTGACAACAAGACTCGGTTCCTGTCGGTCCATCTCGTCACATTGTTTCTCTGTACGCTGTGCCCCGTGTCGGGTCGCTCTGTCACTTTTTTTTGTTTTGTTTTCTGCTCGGGTCTCGTACCAAGTCTTGCAAGTACACTGTACAGCGTTCAGGTTCCGTCCTGTTTGTTTGTATCCTCCACGGCACACACACACACACACACACACACACACACACACATCCCTATTCATGTCCGCACGCAAGACCGGGCACTTGAAGCACTCAGTCCCATACCACACCCGTAATCCGGGGTTCCATTGATTGGGACCATTGGGACCTTGATTGAGACTGCAGCCATTGGTATTCCGCCCATCCACCGACCCACGCACGCAGCCACGCTCAACCTACCTCCACTGCTGCTGCCGCGGCAAGGTACCTCGCCTGGGCACCGCGGCGCTGCCAAGCCTACCAAGCTGCGACTGGGCCCATTTGGGCTTTGGAGCTTCTGAGCATTCGGTTTGGTGGGTCGTGGCCCTGCAACACAACCCAACATTCTCGAGTCCACACCCATAGCTACCCCAGAAGGGGTCATCGGCAGCTGGCCAGTGTCAGTCAAGAGAAAGAGCGGAGCAGCTCCAGCCAGCTAGCGTCGAGACGAGGATAGTGCTTCCAGCCCGGAGCCACCTCCTACTGTAGCCAGGCGAGCCCGGCCAGGGAGCTCCTCCCACGCCGAGTTGCGCAGAGGGCAGTCTCCAGTCCAGAATCGCAACCTCCGAAGAAAGGCGGCTGCTGCTGCTGCTGCTGTTGCCGTTGCTGTTGCTGTTGCTGTTGCTGTTGCTGCTCATCACTCATCACTCATCGTCTTCTCCCCTCCACAACCTCCATCCTCCGTTGCTTGTTGCCTTTGTTGGCGGCCACCACTCAACCCGGCCTGGGGAAAAGCATCTCACATAGGTAGCGCCCCTGCAGCAACCATCATACATACCTACCTACCTACCTATCTGCTCCTCACCTCACCTCACATCTAGAGAAAGGCACACGGCCACCCCCCCCCCCCCGTCACTCCGTCACCCCCCCGCCTCCACTACCTACCTACACGCACGCATCGCATCCGAGAAATCCTGCGGGCTGGTCACACTTTTCTAACGCTGATTCATCAGGAACCTCACGATCCTCCTGCACGCAAAGAGTCCATCCACCTTCTTTGGGTACAGGTTGAGTGGTTCTGTTTGCCCTGCGTGCTACCTTATATCAACGCCGGGCCGTCGTGTTCTGCACCTCTGTCCGTCGTCTCCGACTGACGGAGACTTGGTATTGGGCATCTTCCACTCACATAGCTCCCCGTCTGCATTCTCACAGTTGAACCCCAGAGGTCACCATTTCCATTTTTCATCCATCACCAACTCCCACTTTGTCTAAACAGCGCCTATTGCCTACATCAGCCGTACCGATTTCGACCTCTCACATACACTGAACGGCATCAGCTCCGGGGACGTCGTCCTTCATCTTACGCGTTGCGTTTCCATCATTGGCCCATACTCCAACGATTTGATCACTAGCCTTCAACCCAGGAAGCAGCTACGCCTCTGCGCACGATCATTGGGGTTTGGGCGTAAAGGACGCCAGCAGGGAACATTTGCTGAGATCCAAAATATATCGGCATTACGATCACACATGACGACTTTCACAGCTCTAAATGGGTCATCACCCAGGCCAACTGAGATCTCCAACGGTGCTCGGGAGCTTGAACGCGGAAACGGACAGTCTGCTGGTCCAGACCCAAGATCCGCTAGTGATGTTGCAGTCAGCCAGAGAGAACGGGACCGGGAAAACTGGGGCACTTCAACCCGTGAAAGGCATCCGTATCCTGTGGCAAATTACCACGATGCTGAACCTGCCCCAAAACGGATGCGGACAGATTCCGATCCTCACTCTCCCAGGCGAGAGCACAGGCCTTCACCCATTTCCACTGAGCGGCCCGACAAGTTCGGAACAGAGAGAACTCCCATTGAACGGACTGAAAGGTTGGAAAGAACGGAAAGAATGGAGAGAGTGGAGAGGCCTGAAGTAACAGAGAAGGCGGAGCAATATGAACCCCCACGGCCTCCGTCCAACCCCCATGACCGCTATCCGTCTCCCCAAAAGGAAGGATATCGTGGTTACGAAAATCGTGAGAGCGATGACCGATGGCGCTCTCAGCAGGCCAGAAGTGAGAGGAACGCAAGCTACGATGCAGCTTACTCGGCCGGGCCAGTATCCGGCCAGTCCGAGGAGCCGATGGGCGAACATATGCGCAGAGCGACCAGTCAAGCAGACAGCGGCGACTACGAAAATCAGAGCCCCGATGGCGACGACAACCGCTACTCGGATCAGTACACCCCTGAGCAGCGCAGAGATGGCACCGTTCAGTCCGACCCCAAGAAGCGGAAACGAAATTTCAGTAATCGGACGAAAACCGGTTGCCTGACGTGCAGGAGGCGCAAAAAGAAGTGTGATGAGACAAAGCCTCAGTGTGAGTTTTGAATTTGACCATGCATTCGCCTTTGGGTCATCTAACAGTTATCAAGGTACCAACTGCATCAAGGGTTCATTCCAATGTGCTGGTTACCCACCACAGAGGGGTAACTGGCAGAAACCTGAGAGCAAGCCAGCCCAAGTCAACATCGAGTCCAAGGATCCCAACTATGTCCCTCTTGGAGCATATGGGATGCCGCAGCAACCGATCCCCCCTTACACCAGCAACACTGCTCCGATACTGAGCCAACCAAAGCAGCGCGAGCCTTTCCCGATGGCGCGTGGGCAGCAACCCACTCTCCGCATCACACCGCCTCAAGGACGGCCTCTTCAAAGCGACGACGACCGGCTCACGGCATCAACTCTTCCTAGTGCATCGGTTATTAGCCCAGACAACAAACTGTCCGCCCTCTCAGCTTATCCTTCAAACGTCTTCCCCACGCCCATCAGTGCCCGGACGCCCCTTAGAGAGTATGCGAGAGTGCCCCCGCTCCACGATTTGACGAGGACAGACCCTGACCACCAACCACCGCCGCCACCACCGCCTCCTCAAAGCGCCATTTCCGCACATCCTCCATACAACCTCCATGGTAGCCGAACGGACACGCCAACATCAGCGGTCCAGCCTCTAATCACATCTCAGCCACCTTCAAGTGCCGTACAGGCGACTGCGCAGCTAGCACTATCCCATGCGCAGTCGCATACTCCGTCCAGCGCTACCGTGCCCCCCGTGCGAAGGGAGAAAGACGAGATGATCAGTGGACGAGCCTTTTATCCCTTCGACAAGGAGCTTGTGCTAGAACGCGAGAGATGCAATGCAGCTTGTTGGAGATTCAACAACTCGACCAATCCTAACATTGGCGTATCACCTGCTGAACGCGCACGACTTTTCAAAGAGATCTTGCACCCACGCGAAGGTGTTCAGTTGACGCCCAACCAGCTATCACCCATAGGCCGTATTGGTCATGTTGGTGATAACGTTTCGGTCGAGGCCCCGTTCAACTGTGACTATGGGTACAACATCTCCATTGGCAGTAACGTGTCTATCGGCCGGAACTGCCTGATTACCGACTCTTGCGAGGTACGCATTGGCCACAATGTGATTATCAGCCCGAATGTCAGCATCTATACAAACAGCTGCTACACAGACTGGAGGCGCCGTGATGGGCACAGGGGTGCGCAGTTTGGCAAGCCAGTCATCATTGACGACGATGTCTGGATTGCGGCAAACGTGGTCATCTTGCCCGGTGTAAAAATCGGAAGGGGGTCAACGGTTGGGGCTGGGTCAATTGTTTCGAGGGTAAGTGTCAATCCCTAGTCAACCTCCAGGAGTGTGCATACTGACGAGACTATGTTTAGGACGTTGCTCCCTACAGCATCTACATTGGACGCAAAGCAAGCATGCACCGAGGCATTCCAACTTGATGTTGTTACTGTCTGGTGTCACAGTCCTCACGCTTCCAACCGCGATCACCATCACCAGACCTCAATCTACATCTGTACTGGTCTTTGCAACGACCGGATGAAACCTATTTCTGTATATTCTCGCATATGTTTCCCGTTATCTTCTATCTCAGTATCTCCTTACTCCTCTCTATTTCCTCTAATTACTTATTTGTCACATTTGTCTGTGTGCGGCGAATGGATCGATCAGTGGGTGGGAGGGTGGTTCGAAACAAAACACGGATCTGGTTCAGGAAGAATGAATGAATGGGACAGGAAAAGACAAGATGGAGAAGAAAGACACGCCGCTACGATTAAATTGCCAGGTTGTCGTTCGAGAATCGAAGAAGCGTCGTCATCGCCAGCTCTCACCACGATCATTTACATCATGTCACATGCCTACGAAAAAATCTCCCAGCGAGCGAGCGATCTTGGATAGGGCAATACGGTTGTCTACGAAGGAGGGGAGGTGGCTTTTATTATGCGGTTTCGGCTATCTGCGACTTTAATAGCACTATATACCCCTTTGCTTCTTATTGGGATAGGATGGTTGGAAGGTTGGATTAGAAAGCGTAAAAGGAGGCAGTAAGGAACGAAGGCTGATATAACTCTGGCAGTTATCGGCAGTAGTTAGGCTGGGTAGTGAGTGCGTACGGGTAGTTGGTTAGCTAGTAACTAAGTTGATACCAGTGGGTGTGTCTCTTCGGACGTTGGTCAAACTCTGCGGTACCAAATCACCGTACCCAGGATCACTTGAGGTTTCATGTAAGAGCTTTCAAGTGTCTATAATCCGGTGGTACCTCGCATGCCGTTCGTCACCTCGTCAAAGCATGCCGCTCGTCTGTCGATCCGAGCTACCTATCTCGGATGGAACAATGTATTTCGTTAAGTCCCATGCATGGCATATGGGGGCGGCTCTTCCTGGTTGTATACATACATACACACGAGGTACATTTTTTGAGAAATCGGCAATAGGTACTGAGTACCGCAACGGGTCACATGGCCAACTCGTGATGTATAGACACTACATACATACATAGACAGTTGGTAGGCATCGTAAATGAACACTCGTGGCATTCAAGTGCTACCTACTAATATGTGCATGTAACAAGCCGCTTCGAACCGCGCGGACGCAGCAGCAGTGGTGGCCGAGTGCATACCTACAGAGGTACCTACCTATGTATCGGACTAGGTCGGTATTAGTCGGCTATGAACTGCCTAGGTAGGTAGGTAGGTACTTACCTGCATGGCGGTTGCGAGACAAAAAATACTGTGCGCGCTATATGTGCTTGCGGCGGGCAAAGTTGAACAAACAACTCCGGCTCACTGAACCGGTGGGTATGCTCGGTATACTCGGTATGCTCGGTACGCAAGCGAGGTACGGTAGGTAGGTAGGTAGATAGGTACGGAGGTAGGTAGGTAGGTAGGTAGGTAGGTAGAGCCGTGCGCGCGGCTGCACGCTGCCTACCCGTGGTTGAGAGGCAAAGAGGAGGCAGGAGAGAGAGGTTTCGGGAATCTTGCATGGCATGAAGTATGTACATAGGTAGTAGGAGTAAAGTAACTGCGTAAACGGAGCTTATAGAATACGGTAGGTAGATGATGATTGTTTAGGTATTTAGTGGCAGTCGTTGGGTAGAGAAGTACATGTATAGCGGCTTGAGATTCTTTGACATGTTTACACATATGTACTGGCGTATGATGAGTAGACTGGTTTTTTTTTTTTTTTTTCCTCTTTACACACCACTGGTGTTTGTCCAGTTGTGAACTACTGCATAGAGATGTAGTGAATAGTTTACGAGGCAATTTACAAGTTCGCGAAGGTCAATCGATGCCAGTTTAGCCCCCAACTACCTCTTGCTTGCTATACCTAGTTCATTCCAGGTGACGATTGCGTGTGGAGGTGGGAAGTTGACTGCCCTTGCATAATTCGAAAAAGAAAAAAGATAGCCAAAGCCTGGACATACTATACAAAACCATGAGCCAAAGTCTCATTGCATTTCGGGAAATGAAAGAAAAAAAAGAGAAGATCAATCAATAGCATGATTCGTTTTGTTTAGCCCCCAAACCAACACATAGCTACCCAGTTATCTACTTGTATTTCAGCTGTACAGGTATTGCGGCTGAAGATCTATATCACCAACACGTGGTTCTGTGCCTCATTCGAGCATACCACGCACAAAGCACATGGTGGCAAAGGTTTCCAACCCGGGTTGATTAGAATTAGAGCCCCAACAACTATTCAATATTGCATATGATTAGTAGCATCAGTGATAACGAGAGGTTTGCACGAGAGGGTCATGATCGTCAGAGCTCAAATATCAACAGCTTTCTATACTTCAGCTTAGATGTCTTGGACGCCAACACGTGGTTCTGTGCCTCATGGAAGCATGAAAGAACACATATGAAATTGTGATAATCATTCCTGATCGCCAAAAGCTGAAAGATCTATCGCCAGGTCCATGTGCCGGCTCCAAATCCGCTGGTGGGTACCTAGATAGGAACAGGGAGGTGGCATGTCGAAGTGACTATGTATCAATCGGGAGAGAGTATCGTCACCGCTTGTCTTGCCCCCAAAAGACAAGAGATTTGTGTCGGTATATAGTCGGACGGTGAGCAGGTAGTACAGTACTATCAGGACTAAAGTGACAACTTGCCATGTGGCTTCAACAGGGGAGTGTTTTGCCGAGATCCTTGTCCTCACACGCGCGTGCTGTGCCTTACGAAAGCGAAAAACACATGGTAAATTAGCTTGATTTAGACCCCAACACCTGTTGAAGAACACAAAGTTATGAAAGAGTTTCGATGATTGTCGAGGTAGCCTCACACGTGTTACACGTGTTTCTTTGCCCCATGTTCACAGGCCAATATCGGCTACCACTTGGACCCCAAGCGGGATACATTGAATCGAATACTGTGAGGATAAAGAAACAGCTCAGTGAAGAACTGTGTTGAAAGTTTTGAGCCAACATGAAAGGTGCTGGTGTTGTAGTCGAGTCACTACAAACGAGACGTTGGTAGTGAAGAGAGGGTGAAAACAAATGTCAGAAATTCACGTATCTGGTCACCGTTCTTGGGTCTTGAACTGGTTTTATTCGATTTTGTTTCGAAAGAGGGAAACATGAGTTCGCAAAAGTATACCATTGCTTCTATAAGAGGTGAACCGTTGAGTTGGCCTCCTTGGATAGTGCCTCTCACCTTGTACTGATAGTGTACTTCCCCTATCCTTTTCATCCCTATCACTTGTTTCTTCACCCTCTTTTGCACTTCTCGGTTCAGACTTCACTTCGCTTGGCCCTTGAGTACTCGAACGTTTTGTCTTTCTTCGTCTTCGTCGCATCGTCGTTTGTACCGTTTCGGTCATGTATCGAAAACTAAAACACAGGGCGTAAAGAACCTTGGGGTATGTTCCAAGTTCTCGAAGTGTCACCAATCGAAGAAGTAAACACACTGAGATAAACGACAATTGTACACCTATTCACAAGAAACTAAACTAATAATACAACCACCCTGTATATGCCATCCACTATATTACCGCAGCGAACATCAACCTGGTAGCGCCCATCCCCCGGGCCACCGGCACCGAGAGACTGACTAATTGACTACCAGCTCGCCCACAAGCTTACTTCTTCTGCTTCTTCGTACTCCTATCACTAGCATTGCTGAGCACGCTGGCACTCCGCTTGTGCTGTCGCGCCCCTGCACTTGCTCCTGCTCCACTGCTACTACCATTCTCATCCGCCTCTTCCTTGATCTTTGGCTGATTGCTGCTGCTTTCAGCTTCTTTCTCGGCCGCTGTCGCTGCTGCTGCTGCATCTCCTTGGCCCTTTTCGCCTCCACCCTCCTTTATTGGAACCACAAGACCTTCTTCCCCTTTCTTTTGCTGATCTTGACCTTCGCCCTGTTGCTCCTTGTGCGCCTTGGCGTCCTCTGCCTTCTGATCATTCTTCTGCTCATCAGCCTGTGCAGACTCGCCCGACTTGTCCTTGGCGTCGTCACCACCAGCACCACCACCGTCCTTCTGCTTGTCGTCTGCTCCTCCTCCTCCTCCTTCTCCCTCCTCCTCACCATCCTTCTTCTCCACCGTCTCTCCTCTCGCCTCCGCGGCTTCCCTCGCAGCCCTCTCCCTCTCGGCCTTCTTGGCCTCCTCCAGCTTGATCTCCGCATCAACCTTATCGCTCATCTTTCTCAAATCCACCAGCGTTGTGACCGCGCCCCAGAGAACCTCGAATTGCGCCGTCACCGCCGCCGTAGGCATAATAAGACGGGCAGGGATGTCAAGTTCAAGGAGCAGGTTCGTGATGCGCATCTGCTGCTGACCAGACTTGTGACTATACAGCTTGTTGATCTTCTCGTAGCGGAACGTCGGGCCGCTGCCAAGCCGATCATGGTGCGACACGCCGTACACCTGCTCCTCGTGCTCCGACAGCTTGCGACGTTCGGGCTGTTGAGGGCCCTTCTTCTTGTTGGCGGCCGGAGCGGGAGCAGGAGCGGGGGTGGGCGCCTCGGCAGGGGTGGCGGGGGTTTGAGAGACGGAGTCGCGGTGGTGGTGGCCGTGAGCACCGTGGCGGTCGGCGCGTTCGCTGCGGCTTTCGTTGCGGTGGTGAGAACGGGACTCCTGGCGCTCATGACGCACAGGAGGCTCGCGGACGGGGGGCTCATGATGGTCATTGGCCCCGGCAGTGGATGAGGCTGCGAGGCTTTCCCTCCGGCTAGCGGCCGGAGGCACTTCGGGTGCGGCTGCGACGGCGGCAGCGGCGGCGGGCAGAGCGGCAGTAGCAGCAGCCGCAGCAGCGGCTGGGGGGACGCCATTCTCGGGACCCATGATGCTCTTGCGCTTCTTGGATTTGTCCACGTTGAGAAGGGTCTGCAGGAGAGACTGTAGGCCGGCGGAGGTCTTGAAGGAGTTGATGTCCGACTCGCTTGCAGGGTAATCGAGACGGTTGTACAGCTCACGACGCTCCTCGTTGAAGCGCTCCGTACGGGCCATGATACGTTTAATTTCGAGGAGCAAAGCCTCCTCCTCACGAGCCTCATCGCTGGAGCGTTTCAGGGTGTTTTCGGCGAAACGTTTGCGGTTCTGTTCCTGTTTAGGGTCAAAGTGTAGCATCATCTCATACAGCTCGAACTCTGGCCTAGTCATGTACTGAGCAGGCTTCTGAACGGCCATCATCTTGGCAGCAACCTCGTAGTATCGCGCCTTCAAGTCTTCCATGGTCCTGGGCTTGGAAGCCGGCACCACAGCCATGCCATCGGGTGTCTCACCCTCAGGCTGTTGAGGAGCGTACTCGTACCTGTCCCAGATGATAGGCCATCGTAGATCAAAATCCTTTGCCAACTCCAGCAGATAATCTGTTTCCTCCTTGGTCCAATCGGGGTGCTTCAGGTTGGTGTTATATTGATCCTCGCTGTACTGCGGTACAGACACCCGGACGTTGAACTTTGCAAACGACGAGTCCTCGGGCTTGTCAGCCGAGTTGTCTGCAGTCGCCGCACTGTCTTGCCCTTCAGCTGAGCCATCTTGCACGGTTCCATCCGGTTTCCTCTTCCAATGCCTCAAAACAAGGGCGCCATCATCCCCTCTAGCCGAGTTGGTGAATGCCTTCAGTTCCCATTTGGCAGCAGGTTTGCGACTGACGGTCCTTCGCTTCTTGAAGATGGATACCTCGGGGACTATGGCGATAGGATTGTCGCCGCCGAGGTTCTGTACTTCACGAGCGAGGCCCTTTAGGTTTGGACGTGGTGTCGCAGTCCTCGCCTTTTTGGACGGCCTCGGCCCGGCGTGGTCTGAAGGGAGGTTGAGGACGTCACGGACGTCGTGGGATGTCATGATGTGGGGCGCCGGAGGGAGGGGGGTTAGGAGGAGTCGAAAAACAAAAGAAAAGGACACCGAAACCCGCAGCCAGGAACCGGAGATAAGGCAACTAAAAGATTTAATACGCAAACGAGCCTATGACTTCAGTTGAACGTCCAACTGCCTCGAAACGCCCCACTCCCTAAATTCATCAAAAAACAAGCCAGATATAATATCAACCTCGCAATATTAGGCAGAGCACATCACAAATCTGGGTTTCAGCTTGTGCCCCGGTAATGAAAGATATCGATCGGATCTGGATGAACTGCAAGCTGGAGATGTGGAAACGACGCGGTCTGTGGAATGTTGGTTGTCGCTGGAAAAGATTCTTAGTGGAGACCATTCACGCTTTCACAATCACCTGGAAGGGTTAGGGTCAATCTCAAGAAGGCATCGATGCACGTGACTGCTTATTGCCTGCCGCTCACAGAAGAAAAGGCCAGACCCAGGCAGGTGGAAGCGGAGCCCCTGGGGACCTTGGATGGCCCCGGCTCGATTTTCTGAACGTGGCAGTTTCCAAAGGCCAAGTTCAGGTCTCATTGCGGTCGCGACTTTCGAGTGCAGTGTGCTTCAGTGAAAGGGTGCAGCATCCACCATACTCGTAGCGCATCACCAACATTCCCGCCTCCCTCCGTCAGTGAATCTGTACACACCTAGCATTGGCGCAACAACCACCAGCCGGGTACAACAGAAACGACCACGGCCGCCTCTTCTCGACGACTATTTCCCAGCCGCCCCGTTCGGCTTAATATACAGAGACAACACAGATACACCACAATCATGAAGTCGTTCCTCCCGCTGCTCTCGCTGGGCGCCGTTGCTCAAGCGCTCCACTTCTTCATCGACGGCACCAGCCCCAAGTGCTTCTACGAGGAATTGCCCAAGGACACACTGGTGGTTGGCCACTACACGGCAGAGGAATGGGACGACCAGAGGCATTCGTGGCAGAAGCATGATGGCATCAACATCTTCATCTCTGTAGATGTATGTTTTGTTACCTCTTTTAAGCTACCAAAGCTACCCCTGACCCCTATCCATCCCACCTACTCCAACCACCCACCACCTACCGAGACCTCCCATACCAAACCCATTATTGCTTGTTCCCACAACCGCTTACAAACCTTACCTTCCAGGAACTCTTCGACAACGACCACCGTGTCGTCTCCCAGCGCGGCGGCCCCGGCGGCAAGTTCACCTTCACTGCCGCCGAGGCGGGCGACCACCGCATCTGCTTCACGCCCACGTCGACCTCAGGCCGATCGAGCTGGATGTCGGTTAACAACCCGAATGGCGGGATCAAGCTGACGCTGGACATGGCCATCGGCGAGTCGAGCGCGATTGAAAGTGCCGACAAGGGCAAGCTGCAGGATCTGGCGACGCGGGCCAAGGATTTGAACAACCGGCTGCAGGATATCAGGAGGGAGCAGGTTTTCCAGAGAGTAAGTCATCTCTTTCAGCCGAATTGGCGGGGATGGGGGATTGTTTGAACCCGGGAGGGACAGAAGCTAACATACAATCTTCAACCAAAACAGGAGCGCGAAGCCGAATTCCGTGATCAATCCGAATCCACCAACGCTCGCATCGTCCGCTGGGTCTTGATCCAACTCGTCGTACTCGGCGTCACTTGCGCCTGGCAGCTCTCTCATCTCCGCTCCTTCTTCATTAAGCAGAAGCTCACGTAAAGAGCTTCTACCACTTTACCCAACCATGGGTCGTATGGGAGGAAGTCTCGCTTGCAACATATATATAAAAAAAAGGCACATATGTAATTGTGGGAGCGGACGGGCTATGAGGGACGGGGTGGTGTAATTGATATGGTTGGGTCTACTTTTTCCTTTGGCCAAACAGGCAGGCCACGGGTGTCATGGGTGGCATGAGGTGTTCACGCCATACCATGCCAGAGAGGAGGAGGTATGATCAAGGAGAGAAAAAGTTGCCATAAGCGGGTGGGCCGTCTCCAGCGACAGAGTGATGAGAAAGTCTAACGAAACGTTTTAACATGTATTATGCATGCTTCTATACAGCATGAGTGGTCATGCCTTGATGATATAATGCACATACTTCATACAACCGTCGCTCACGCACCACACATCGGGCGAATACCACTGATCAAGCACGAACCGAATAGTGCGCGCATGAGATACCGACTGACCTTGGTTGCTTTACATGCTCCTCTATAAGCTGGCATGCCTTGATAATATGTAATACAATGACCTACTCCTATATCACTCACAGATAACGAATGGCGAGACCTGTAGATAACACCAAAGGATAATCATCCGATGAAAATTGATTTACATGGTCCTATACAACATCAACTTTCATGCCATGCCCTTGATGATATATAATACACAATCAACTTTTCACACGCCCCTCTCACACATACGTCAACCTCGAAAGAGACGTTTTAACACATGAAGACTGACGAATGTGATATGAATATGCCAAGCTTCCAAACGTAGTATAGTTGCCACATATACATTCATCTCTCGTCTCCGATATAGCGTGGACTATCATGCCTCTCTCCGTCTCACTCAGGACCCTTGACACTAGGAGGTATCAGTTTCACGGCGTTCACCAGATAGAAAGCCGAGAGCTTGGGCTATTCTATCTCGCACCAGTCAACAAACCAGAGCTAGATCGTATATTTTATGGAAGCTGCCCGGCAGGAGGGAGATTCATTAAGAACGAATATAAGACAGTCCTTCCGGTTCTTGTCTACCTAACCTTAGTCATCGATTAGTTCTCGGATCTCAAGCCGAGTGTCCTTGTACCTCCTTACCAAAAACACTGGAATACAGGCTGAAAAGAACAAAACCCTTTGTGTACCCCAAGTCCGCATCTGTGGGCAGCTAAAGAGCTTTCTCAGCAGGGGTGTATCGTATACAGGGAAAAGAAACGCTATCCATATGCCTAGTGCCCGAATAGAAATCTAAACGAGCGGTGACGGCAGCGCCAAAGAGAACTCTCGTCGCTACCGTAGAAAAAAAAGACCCGACGAAGAAAGAAAAACAAGAACCAGATACAAGGGAAAAAAAGGAAAGAAGGAAAAACAAAACTATCAAAGTGGTAGGAGGCCCCGTCCCCTCACCCCCCCCTTCTCTTTGTCCCGAATTTTCAATGAGCCCCAAATTGCTGGCCGATCGTCTGGAATGTTTTATGTTCTTCTCGAGACGCCGCTTGATAGCCGCCTTCCGAGTGGAACGAAGTGAGGGCTTCACCAAGCAGTTTGTCCTCTCCATCAGGCGCATCATACTGGTTTAGGGTTTGGCAGTTGGTTCGGCATCTTCAGCGATACGGCACAGCAGCTTGCCGCCCAATGGATGATACCATAGAGAGAATGTACCAGACAGATGGGCCAGCAAGAGACAAACATGTTCTATGATACAACGAAAAGGGGCCAAAGCAAAACATAAAACCCACGCTGTCTAGATGCACGGCCCGAACCGAACTGCGATAACGTATTCCCGGAACGGTCGGGGATTAGACTGCCCACCATCCAGTTTCAGATATACTCCGCCTTAATCGTTTGTGTACCAGCGGATCCCTGGCCAGACCAGGCTGAGGTTACGTGGCGTCCCCAACGATGATTACTCAGTAGAATAGGTGGTGGTTGCTGCCCGTTGAGTACCGGCTAACGAGGAGGAAGGGAATATAGAGGTTTTTTAGTGATGACGCCCGAGGTAACGGTTATGGTGGTTGAAAAGAAGTGTTAGACTAGACTTAAATATGGTGAATCAGGGTTCGATGGCTTGACTTGAGCAACTGGAACGGGTAACATGAGGGAAACCTTCACGATAGTCAAGCCTTGGTTACTTGCCAGAGGAAGATTCCACGAGATGGATACAGGGAGTCTAGAATAGTTATACCCTATGACTTGAGCAGTGGCCCGTGGGGAGGGGGGGGAGGGCGACTACCATGAGGAGCTTGACGTACGGGACTCAACGAGTTGATTCCTAATATTTGTTTCTTACTGATGGGAATTTCTCTGCCACGGCAACTACCAATGAACGATGGTTGAAGTTCCCGATATTAGTGTCGACAAGTAGTGGTGAATATGGAGAAAAATGAAGAGTTAGAGAAACTTATAGGACAAAGTACGGCTCAGATTTGACGTCCTCGCATTTCCACGATACGTTGTTCTTCCAGCACCTCGCAAGAGACCTCACATTTTCCCGCTAGGTCATGGCGCAGTTACCGAATCATCGCTGAAGAATTGACGTGCAGAGTTGGGTAGAAGACATAGCGTTAAATGTCTGCCAGATGCGTTTGGTAGTTGTCGAAGGGTACGTATGTAGTTGTTCGATACTTTAACCCTACATTCCCAAACCTCAACCCTGAGAGATAATGCGGGTATATGCAATAGGTCCGGAGGTCCGGCCTCAGTCCAAGCTTGAAAGGTAAGTGATAACCGTAGATGTGGCAAGGTGAAATGAAGGAACGAATAAAACAATGCTTAGAGGGCACCAAACAGCTATTATCGAAGAAGAAATTCTATTACGCCACCTCATCCTCGATCATATCATGTCGTGAAAGAACAATGGAAGAGGATAACATGATCAATACCATACAGGATCAGTGAGTGAGTGGATATAATGATTATTATACGTAGTTCGGAGATGTATAAGATGCTGACTAGACAGCAATAGCGCGCAACAACAGACAAGGTAGACAATGACAATAGACAGACAGTAACAAGCTCAGAACCACACCCGCAAACAGCAACACTAAAACACCGAGGCGTTCCGTTCCAATCAAATATGAATACTCTTTCCTCTTTTCCCCTTTTTTCGTTTTCCCGAGATCTTTTCAAACTTTCTCTCCTCACCTTTCCCTGTCACTTCCCCTCCCACTTCTCACGTGTTTCCCCCTCCTTCCCCTTTCGTCCCACTCCGAACCGCGTCTTCCAGCGGCAACATCGGGGAGGCTTGACCGTTTGCACGGGTTCGTCGGGAAAGAAATAGCTGTCATTAAAGACTGGATCATCCGAGACCACTGTCCTCCACGTGAGTCGGCTCCGCCTTCCATATCGGCCCGGCGTCGTAAATCCTAGCATCCTCTCGCCAAACGAAGGCCAGCCAAGAAGGGAGGGAACAAGAAATGGTAAAAGAAGAAAGGGTTCCCGGGGAGGTCGAGGGAGGGGAAGCGAAGATAGCGAGAAAGACAGAAGACTGAGTCTGGAATACTAATCGTATGGTCGTAATGATGTGCCCCAGGTAGATCAAGCAAGTAAAAGACGCCAGATGCGCGTAGCCGAGTAAGACCGCTATGAAAAACAAAGGAAGGTATCCTCTATAGTCCCCATGCAAAAACATTTGAGAACCCCATGTTTCGGCAAATTCATACAACAGGACTCGTCCCCCCCGGGATTCCCTCTATATAGATGGGACGAAGACTTGCTCCTCACATTTTCTCCTTTTGAAGCTAGCCGCACTGTTAGCGGTTAGGATCATCAACACAGCTGCCACCGTCTTTGGTTGTTGCTCACTGAAGGATATTATTAAAACAAACGGACACAAAATCAGCACCACCCTTTTCAGCTGCAGCACAGGGCCTTCCAAATGCCCTTGATGCCGCCTTGCTGTTGTTGTGGCTGGTTAGAAGGTGGTGGGTTCGTGTTCGATGTGGCAGTGTGGGTCATTGTCCGTTGCGGAGGCTGCTGCATGTTGTATGGTTGCGCCCCATTTCCCGCCGACTGGGTGGGTGTGGGTTGGGACTTGTAAGCCCGGTTATTCTGCGCGTTGGCGTTTGGTTGCTCTTTCGCCCGCTGCCCCGGCTGAGCTGGAGGCGAGGGCTGCGGGGCGTTTAAACGAGCGGCCGTCAATTGAGCTCGGGGGTCGCTTGCGTGATGGGTCGTGGGCCCCCTCGAGTTGTGGATTTCCATAGCTGAGGGCCCAGGTCTCGCGTTTGGGTTGTGCAAAGCCCCAGGCCGATCCCAGTCCCCCTTCTTGTCGGACTTGTTAACCTTCATCCAGTCATATTCGCCGTCCTCAACGCCACCGGCATCCTTGAGCGCCTGAGAGAAAAGTTCGCGGAGGTAGTCGTAATCGGGTTGATCCTCGAAGCCAAGGTTGCGGACGTATGTAAGGTATTGGGCAAATTGTTCGGGGAATCCTTCGCAGAGATCTTTGATGGCAGTGGTCTGCTTCTTTTCGCCAATCTTCTCGTACTTTTGCTTGTTAGTAGCAGCCTTGAGGCCTTGCCACGGCAAGCCACCGCGGAGGAAGTACATGAAAACGTGACCCAAGGCCTCGAGATCATCTCGTCGGGATTGTTCGCGGCCAAGATGGGTGTTGATGGACATGTAACGGGCAGTTCCCGAAAGCGATTTCCTTTCGCGGTAGGGAATGTGCTGCTTGGTCTTGGGGTCACGGTACTGCTTGGCCATACCGAAATCAACTACGTGAATGACATTGGCGGTCTTGGTTCCCTGCCTTCCAATCAAGAAGTTGTCGGGCTTGATATCGCGGTAGATCAAGTTCTTCTCGTGAATAGTTTGGACACGGGACAGCTACATAAAGGTTAGATTACCTCGTTTCAGGGGACACGGGGAAGACGACCGGCCGACCTACCATTTGCTTGGCAACCATAACGACCGTCTTGAGACTGAACCGGCGATTGCAGTGGTCAAAGAGATCTTCTAAAGAGGGACCGAGGAGATCAATAACCAAGATGTTGTGAAGACCTTCTTGGCCAAAGTAGTAGACATTGGGGATCCCGGCTGTAGATACGATGTTAGCAAGGAACCATGACGACTCAAGAAAGGCCTGTACTCACGGCATCCCACAAGGATCTTGTATGTCCTGTACTCATCGCGAAGCTGGGGAGCATCGCTCTTGCGCGGCTCCTATAATCACATCACTTGTCAATCCAGTTCATCCCACGTCGCGTATGGGGAAGGCGCGACGAGCCACGGTCCGAGAACTAGGACATACGAATTTGATGGCAACCTGCTGGTTGTTGAGGAGGTTGGTACCCTCGAAAATGACACCAAATGAACCCTCTCCAATTTTCTTTCCCACTCGGTAGTGTACACCGACGACGTTGGAGGACGTCGACGAAGCCATAGTGTCGGATTGTCGTCACTCAAATTATCGTGTGTTCTAGTTGAGGTTGAGAGTCGACGGGGTCGTGACTAGAGGTGATGGTCGTCAATCAGGATGTCGTCGCACGTCTAGGCAATTGAAATCGGCGGTCAGTGATTGTTGAGGATAATGACTGTATCGATGACAGGAAAGTGTGTGCGTGCGTGGTGCCGATAACAACGATGACGGATAACGTCCCCAGACAGGAGACCTAGGGGCCCATGTGTGTATTGCGTAACTGGGTGGAAGGGATTGACAGGAAGGAGGTGGAAAAGGAGGAAAAAGTGCAGTGGTGTGTGGAAACCATGAATTGGCAGACGATGGATGGTTCCTACAGGTGTGCCAAGGCAAGGCTGTTCTGTGTGCAATAGGGATCCAGGGAAGGAAGCATGGTTGTGCCTGGAGACCAGGCCATGACGGCAAGAGATCATTCAGAAGCGGGCCACTCCAGGCCACGCCCACAGCAAGAGAGACAAGCGACAAACGAACCAACACTCACCCTGGTTTCGGTAAACACGCTGGGTCCTCTTGCGTTCTCGGTCTAGTCGGTGAGACGGACGGGGCTGGGGTTGGCGGATGCCGGAAGGGAAGGACTGCTGGTCGGGATGCAGCGACCAAAGTCGGGAAACGGACAGGAGGTCCTATTCGAAGATGCGAACGACGAACGACGACGACGACGACGATGGTGGCTGAATTGCTTTGCACTTTCTGCAATTCAGCTTCTTCGAAATTGACCAAGTATAGGTACTGGACGACCGGGATACGGGGGGCACAGATGGGTTGCTGAAATTGGGTCGATTCCTTGGGTGGAGTGCCGTGGTGATTACGAGAGGCTTCCCCAGTCGGCTGTTGCTTCTTTGCGCAAGCGAGGAGTGAGTGGTATGCGAACGGATCGAAGGAGGCTCAGAGGGTCGCGCGCGAAGAGAGGAAGCTGGGTGGATGGGATGGGGAACGAAGAATCCGTCTATTTGGTGGTGGACAACTTGAATGCGAGCCGCCTTCTCAATAACAAACCCCCGAAAGGAAAGGAAAAAAAGGAACAAATAAAAAGACGTCTGTCGTCTGCAGCGTCTGCTGTGTCGGGGCAGAAGTGAGTAGTGAAAGGGGGCGGGCAGCAGACGGACGCGGATAAATGACGATGGATCGGGTTTTGGGGGGTGGCGGGCTGCCGAAGGTGGTGAGAAGGAGAGAAAATGGAACGGACTCGAAAGGAGGCAGGACGGCAGTCAGCGAAAGAGAGCGAGGAGAGGGCGGCGGCCAGAGGGGTCGGGAACGGAGCAGAGCACTGCAACAACCTGCTAGCGCAAACGGAAGGCGGGCTGGGGGGGTGGTCCAAGACGTCCAGGGCAGTGGAGAATCCTGGAAAGCGGCATGGCTTGAATTTCAGGCCTTTCATTGACTCTTTTTTCGTCCGGTCGTCCAGTCTTTCCCTTCAGAACCACAAGTCACAGGCAGGGCCCAGGACGAGAGTGCCAGAGAGTGAGTGCAGTGCTACCGACCTCTACCACCTTGGGTACCTCTAGGGAGCGCGGGTCGGATCGCTGATTGATCGAGGTGATCAGGTGCACAGGCACCGGGCACCAGCCCCAAGCCCCGGCCAACGAACGACGGCCTTTCTGACCACTGCTGCAAAAATGCTGCACCGTCCACCTGCACTGCGACGAAAGTCTGCGCCGCGGGACGAAACTGGACTGGGCTGCCCGGTGTGCTGACTCTACGTATCGTATAATTTCGGGGCATATATTTTCAGGGTTCTGACAAAGCAAGCAGAATCTGCAAGCATTCTGTGACATTCATACCCACCACAAGTACTATACAAGACCATAAAATCGAATGCCCCACGTTCCAACTTCCTTTTGTATGCCCTAACTTCTTCTACTACCGTCTATAAAGCTCATTATCGTCGATATTATAAATTTCTAATATTGAACGTAAAGATAGATCTACATATTAGCACATTCTATCTTAATACAAATACTGGGATCTGGGAGCGGATAAATAAGGCTCTAGCAGCACTACCCATAGTAATCCTAATAATCCCAATAATCCCAGCACAACCAGCACAACCAGCACAACCAGTACAACCAGCGCAACTAGTACAACCAACCCGGGCACCTCTCCCTCCCCCTCCACCTCTCCCAATTCCCCCCAATCATCCCCTATCGCCTCTATCGAATTAATAACGTACTAAATAATACCCTAATTAAAAGAGAGCACTATTTAGTATAAGGAAATTAAAGGGAAGGTATAATAGAGGTAGGAAATTAAAATTTAAATAGTACTATACTGATAAATTTAAAATCTAAATAAAGTTACATTATAGCATTATTAGTAGGGTTATATAGTATACTACTAATAATTTAAATAAATATTAACGTACTTTATACAAACTAAAATACCTATTAACAATAAAGACGAACGCCGCCGGCGTTGTAATAGCTCCCGTATCTATAATAAAAACTATACTATCGAAGGGCACTATAATATTTACGCTTATAAAGTTAAGAAGTACTTCAAACTACTAATTTCTACTACATAATATTAATAGGAAAGATGGAAAGTAATATTACTTCGTATAACTCAAGAAGGTAGACCGCTCTAGCTAAAGCTTAAACGCTAATTATATAAGAAGTTCTAATTTACTAAATAAAATAATAATTTAATAACTATAGTATAATTTCGGCGAAAATCCACTACTTTTTATACTACTATTTACCTAGAGCAAGTATAATTAAATCTTTAATATTTCTCTTATAAATAATTTACTTATTACAGGTAAAGGGTAGATAGTAGATATAATTATACGTAATTGCATAAAGGAGAAAGGAAGAGAAGTATATAGCCAAGTACCTAGAAGACTGGCCTTATAAGGGTAACTGCCAACGGGTCTACGGACCCGCAGCAAGCAGCGCTCTAACTAATTAACTACTAGCAATATAGTACCAGCAGCGATAATAGCAATAATAATCTTAGAAGCTACTATACACTAGCACAAAGTATATAAACTAACCCTATAATACTTCCCCAGACTAAAAGAAGTTATATAGTTAATTAATATTATATAAAATAATAGAAATCTCTATTAAACGAGTAGTCTGCTCTTAAAAAGCCTTTACTACTATTACTAGCGAATATCATTGTAATTTTTACTATAGAATTAAAGCCTCCTATTCTACTTCCTTCTCCCTTCGCTTTTTTTCTACCGCTACCTAGTCCAGGGAGTACGGTACTTCGGGGTAATTATTGTAGAAAAAGGCCCGGATTATCTTAGAGGTTATAAATATATCGGTACATAGTTACTAAAACGGTATATGTAGGGGTACTTAGACTATAAGGTATTTCCAACGACCCTTATTATTCTTTTAGTAGTTATTAATTTTTTTAAATTCATATTCGATAGAATCTTCCCTATTATCGGTCCTCTTTATAGTCTAGTTATAATTAATATAAACGTTCTATTCCTCTATAGCTATTTATTTTAGGAGACCTTCCTTATCTTATAATTCAACCTTACTAATATAGAATATTAGGCTATACTTTATATTAATTAAGAGTTTAAATATCACTTAATAATTATTTACTTTAAGGATTTCGAAAAGGCTTTCGAAGAGGGGTATAAATTTAGTATAAGGCTAGCCGGTATTGAAATTTTTAGTATTGAAAAGGACTTAATTTTCTTCCTTATATTTTAGTACGTTTAATTAATAGGTATTTATATTATTTTAATAATATTATTATATTTATTAACTTTAATTTATAATAAAGTTTGAAATTTGTTTAAATTAATTAGTTGATTTATTAATTTTAAAGTATTTTATTTATTATACCGCCAATATTTTTAGTAGGTATAACTTCGCCAGTTTAATACCTATATAGGGGTAAAAATTGTAATTAATAAAGAAGGGAGAAACGTTAATAGTTTTAAAAATTAAATTATTATTAGTAAATTCCGCAATTAGTAGCTAATTTACCCAATCGTCCTAGGCCTAATTAATATAGAAGCGAAAATACTTTTTTATTTTTATATTAATACATTCGGTTTAATTGTTAGTAGTAGAGTAAAAAGCGGAGGAAGGTTTAAAGGCGATTTCTAATTATAATAATAAGGCCTTTTAGAATTATAAAATAAACTAGGTATTGCGATTAGAGACGATAGAATCTAGTAGATTATAAATACTATAAATTCTTTTAATAAAGCGCTTTACTAATTCTTTTACTATTAAACTAATAGTAGGGATACAGTATTTTATTTTTGTAAAGCGACTAATAATAATAATAATATATTTAAATTTATACTCATAGTATAAATAAAGTGTAAGCGGGGTAATATAATCGATTGAAAGATCCTTCTATAGTACGAATAGTACTATTAATAATTTTAAAAAACTATAAGGGGTGTATTGCGATAGTTTTAATTTAGCGTATACTAAATAAACTTTATAGTACGACCTTATAATAGTATATATTCCTAAATAAAAGAAAGATTGCAATAGTAACAAATAGATCTTTTTATAGCCTAGATACTTAATAAATAGCAAATTATAAATATAATAGAAGAGTAAGAGGTAAAGTTTTATATTAGTAGGATTAATAAAGGCAGTACTATAAAAGTATATTCATCCTTAAATCGTTCGGTATTTAATAAAGTGGACCTTCTTTATATAATTTTTAATTTCTTTAAACTATATTCAATAATTAGGGTCTAATAAATAAATAATAATACTTTAGAGAATTATCGATTTTCCATAACCTTTTATTACTAAATCGTCCGTTAATTTCTCGTTTAAAATCTCTAATTCGTAAATATATTCGGTACCGATAAGGATTTCCTCCTTACCTCCGCTTTCTAAAACGAAGGTTCTATTAATAAAAATATTTTAATCGAATAAAACTTTATTTCTAATTAGCAACCGCTTATTAATTTCATTTTTAGGTAAATCTTCTAATTTTCTACTTAATACGTCGGGGTATATTTATAAGGATTTAGAGCGGTATTTAATTATAAAATTAAAATAGGAAAGAAATTAGGACTATTGTATATAGCGGGGGGTAAATTACTTATTAATTGTAAAAGTCTTTAAACTTTTATAGTTAGTAAGAATTTCGAAAGGTTTTTAGGCTCCTTCCAATTCGGGACGCTACTCTTTAAAGGCTTTAATAATAATTAATAACTCTTTATTATAGATATTATAATTATATTCCGCTGAAGAATACCGCTAGCTAAAATAAGGAACTAGGTATAAAATACCCTCTTCGTTATATTAGGATAGAGTGCTACCGTATACCCAATTCGAAGTATCCGTTTCGACGACGGTCCATTTAAACCAATTATAAATCCAAAGTATTGGACTACTATTAAAAGCTTTTTTAAAAACCTTAAATAACTTCTAATAATAGTCGGTCTATTACTATTTTACTAACTTCTTTATTAATTTATATAATAGATTAGTAATAATCAAAAAGTATTTAATAATTATTGGTAGAAATTGATAAAACCTAAGAAACACTATAGCGCTCTCTTAGTTTCTAGAGCCTCCCAAATTTTAATTGCAAATATCTTATTAAAGTCTATTTCGAATCCTCCTAAGATAATAATTAGACTAAAATATTTTATTCTTATAATATAGAATTCATACTTATTGATATCGATTTATAACCCTACTTGAATTATCTATCGTAGAACCTCCCTAAAAATAATTTTTATAGTCTTTTTTATTATTTAAATAAATTGGAACATTATTAAAATATATTATTGTATATATATTAAGGATATTATATAGAACGTTGTTAATATAGTTTTAAAAAGTCCCTAGGGTACTTTAGAGGCCAAATAAGTAGATAATAGATTTTTAAAAACTAAAATGGGTAATAAAAATAATAAGCTATTTATATCCTTCCTTTATATAGATCCTATCAAATATAGTAATTATATTAAGCTTAGTGAAAAATTTTTATATAGTAAATAGTATTAAAAATCTCCTTAATTAACGGTAGCGGGTAATGTATTTTCAATATTATATTATTAATATTACAATAATTAATGCAAATAGGGACGCCGCCGCCAGACTTTTTGATTAAAAGGATAGAGGATACAGCTATAAATTATAATAAGTAAATAAAATTCTTTTTTAAATTTTCGTCGATCTACTTTTTAATAATAATAGTTTCGATTAGGGATATATAGTATAGTCGCGCGTTGGGGGGGGTACTCCCGGCTAGAGTTTAATCTTATAATTATATAAACGGTTAGGAAGAATTTCCTTAATTAATGACAGGAGGAAGGCTACTACCTTATTAATACATTATCGTCCCTCCAATTCCTTTAAAATAGGAATAATTTTATCCTTAATTTTAATTAGACAGTTAGCCTTATTGAAGAACTTCTTCGTATTTTTCTTAAAAATTTTAACTAAGTATACGTACCGGATTATTTCCTTATAAAGTAGAGTATTTTTATTGAAGTTTCCAATAAAATAAATTACTTTAATAAAAATTATAGCTTCTTAAAATTTCTTTAATAAATAAACGTTAGTTAAATTATTAATAAACCTATAGAGGAGTAAAGGGAGACTTTCCTTATATTACTAACTATTACCCTTTAAAATATTAGCAACCATCTCCTTAATTAAATTTATACCCTGAACTTCCGCTACGGTAGTTAACCTTTCGATTCTAATATAATTTATAATATACGGTTATAATTGTTAGGACTTATAAATAAAGTTAAAAGTCGCTGTATTAAATTCTCTAATATTATTAAATTTAATAAAAAAAGTACTATTGAAATTATAATAATAGCGGGCTTAGGGGCATTTTATATTTATAGAGACGCGCTAGCTGTTAAAGCGGACGTAAAGATCGTAAGGAATTAAGTTTTTAATCCTAATAAAAAGTAAAGCCGTACCCGTAATACCGACTTTAAACCCGGCCCTATTAACTATTAATACTTTAACGGGAATGGAAATAAGTTAATAACCAGCTTCGAAAATTTTTAGTATAAGACTCGACGGCGCTAGTATTATTTAAATAGGGCGAATAATTCTATTACCCGATATTAGTTTTAACGGCGCCGGGGCTACTTTAGCGGGGGGAACTATTTCGTTCTTTAAGGGTAAATAAGGAATTAAAGTTAATTAGAGAATTAAAGTTAATTAGAGAATTAAAATTAATTAGAGAATTAAAGTAGTCCTACTATAAATAACCGCAATTGAAATTCGGTTAATAAGGGTTTTTAAAGCTATTAATTAGTTTCTAAAGAGATTAATAAGTAAATAGTAGTCCTTATAAATAAAATTAGTAAAGCGTACTCTGCAATAGTTATAGTTAATTTTCGATTTATAATATTATATTTATAAGAAGCTTAAAATAACTAAATAGTTTTTAGAAATAATATAAATTAAGAAGGTAATTATTTCATTATAGTGCCCGATATAGAATTTAATTATTACTCTCTTAGAAATAATACCTTTAACTACTCTATTAGCTAGAACGAACTTCTTTACTTAATAAAAGTAGAAATAGGGAAAATTATATTTAATAATAAAAGAATAATTAATGAAAATAAATATAGAATAGTTAATATTAATAAGAGAAATATAATAATCTTCATACAATCTAATTATAATATAGAAAAATAAAAATATTAAATTTAAAAAAGTAGAATTATTTAATAATTATATTCTAACTTCCTCTAAACGTTTTAATTGCGAAGAGTCTAAAATTTATCTCTACAATAATAATAGGAAGAGCCTTTATATACGATTAGGCGTAAAGGCTAAGTATTTTCCAATTTATTATAATATTTACTATTAATAATAGTAACAGCGGGGGCTATAGCGGGAGTAATAGTAGTAAGTACTACTTTAGTAATATAGACTTTCTCCCTATTATAACGACCTCTACTTTTACTCTTACTTTTATTCTTTTTACCTTTATTGTATTAGGGACCCTAGGCGCTATAGTTAATAAAAGTAAGATAATTATAAATAATATAATTATTGCTTCTATAATAGTAATACTTACTGGTATGGGTATATTAGTTAAAAATATTTTTATAAATAAAGACAGCGAAATCGATAGTATTAAAGTCTATTTTATTACTATCTTAACTAACTAGAATATTATTAATATTACGGGAATTAGAAGCGCCGTCCGTACTAGTATTAGTATTGCTGGAACTTCTACTAGCGGGGGTATTATTACCAAAAATATGAATATTTATTTTTATAATAGTAGTCAGCATCCTCTAGGTTACTAGCGATAGTACGGCAAATTGCTAATTACTTTTTAAAATCGTTAGCTTTAGAAAGGTTATAATACGTAAAAGTATTATAGAGGCACTTATTAATTTTATTACGCAAATAGTAAACTTTTATAGAATTATTTAGGCTATAAAGGTTTATAAGGTTAGTAAATTCTAGTTTAAATTCTACAAAGGATATATTCTTTATAAAGAACTCCTTAAAACGATAGCCGGCATTTATCTTTAGATTAACGTTCTAAACGCGAATAACTAAATATTTTATAAATTCGGTATTAGTCTTCTAACGCTAAGAATTTGTATCTCCTCTATTCTAAATAATATTTAAATTATTCTAAATATTAGATAAAATTTTAAAACCTAATAGTATAGTAGTACGAATAATTTTAATATTTTTATTAATATAGAGGAGGGGGTTGTACTTCTATTGGGATAGAATACAAAAATACTATACTTTAAAGATCTTATATCTACGGGCAGCGTTAATATTCTCCTTACCGGTAAAAATCGGCGGATTTTCTATAATTTACTTTAAAAACAATATTTTATTAATACTAATTATTTTAATATAATTATTAAATAAGGATCGAATATTAGTACTATAAGATTTAAGGGCGGCGTAGTCTATATTGAAGTTATTATATTTCTTTTAAAGGTCATTAAATTTAGCTTTTAAGTTAAAATAGTCGAAGTTCTTCTAATTGAAATTATTTTAGGCTTTAGTAGCTACCTTATAGGCAATTTTTAATTCGTCCTCGCTATATTTAAAGTTAATAATAACATTCTTATACTAAATAAAGTCGTTATAGTAAAAGCGATTCAGCGGGGTAATAACCGAATAGAAGGTAGGGTTTTAAATAAGAATATTAATTGCGTTGAAATAGGCGCGAGGGATAGCTTTCTTCTTTTTATTATTATTAATACTAATAAGGAGATTGTTAATTACTAACGAGGGGAGAAGCTCAATAAGCGCAGCTTAATAAATAGCAACGTTAATAGTATTAACAACTTTGTTAAATACTTTGTGAATATCGTTTAAATTAAACGGCGTACTCTTAGGAGGGGTATTAAAATTAATAAAATCGCTAATACTATTAGCGGGAGAAAAGGACGCGTAATTGCTACTCTTAGTATAAAATATAAAAAAGTAATTACGTAAGGCGGTCTTTTATCCCTCAAATAAAAAGTACCTACTCTTATTTATTAAATAAAGGGAATAAAACTATAATTATTATAATCACGATTATTAGTAGTTTAAAGTACTAGACTCGGCGATTCGACGGGCGAGGCGATTTCTATACGCGCGCTAATTAAAAATTAATTATATAATAAAAAGAAAATAAGTTTATACTATAAATATAATAATTAAAAGGTATAATTAATTATTACGAGCAAAGGGTAGATAAAAGATATAATTATACGTAATTGCACGAAGGAGAAAGGAAGAGAAGTGTGTAGCCGAGTGCCTCGAAGACTGGTTTTATAAAGGTAACCGCTAGCGGGTCTGCAGACCCACAGTAGGCAGCGCTCTAACCAATTAGCTACCGGCAATATAGTGCCGGCAGCGACAATAGCGATAGTAGTCTTAGAAGCTATTGTACGCTAGCACAAGGCACACAAGCTAACCCTGTAATATTACTCGCTTCTTAAAACGCTAATATATAACCAATAGAAGGATTATAAACTAGTCCTAGAGACTACTAACTAAACTACTTACTAAAGTAAGCTTATTTTTAAGGTAAATTTATATATCTATATAATAATTTATACCTGTACTTATACTTATACCTATACTTATACCTTTTTTTCTTTTTTTCATTCTAGAGAAAAAGAGACTTGAGGAAATTCAATAAAGACCTAGAGAAATTTAGTAAAGACCTAAAAATCTTCGGAGGCTAATTATTTTAACCTACAAGTTCATTAAGCACAATAGCTAACCTATTAAAATTAATACGACTATACAATATCCTCCTTCTATTATTATAAATTTTAATAAAATTCCTCTCCCTTTCGAATACTTAGATAGTTATATATATAAAATTAAAAATAGCAAATCCATTATAAGTAAGACCAACCGTAATAGATAGAGTAAACAGTAAGCTACCCTAATTTTATATATTTTTATAAATAGAATTATTCGTCTTAAACTAACTATTATCTTTCATAGGGAAAGTAAAGTACTAGAAGAAGAGCAACCGCTTTATACTCCTAATATTAAAATTCAATTCAATAAAGCAGTATATTAAAATAAGCAATTATTACTTAACTAGCTTAATAATAAATTTACTCCTATTATTAAGGATAACTTCAATAGTTAAGAGCTTCTATTAGTTATAAATATATACCTATCTCATAATATTCAATAGATCTATAATAAACTTAGGGATATGAAAGTAGTATTAGCTATAATCCTTAATAGTTTAACTAGCCTTCTTCAACCTTTTAATACAATAATTAACTCGTCATTTAAAAAACTATTACAAAAAAAAAAAAACTTACTATTAAAATATAGGAAAAAGAGAACCCAGGTAAATAATAGTCCGTTTCTAATAAGAGGATTCTAATTACTCACATTATTTCAAAATATTAGAATATTTTAATAACTAAAAAAAAGGATATAATTATTAAATTTTTCAAAAATAATAGTATCTCCGTATTTCCTAATAATAGCGAGAATTACTTTATTAATATTAAGGAGATCAACCGAAATATTATTAATTGGCGCCGCTAGGAAAATGCTCTTAATATCACTATTAGCGTTGATAATTTTGAAGCTATTCCTATCTTTGAAGATAATGGTATTGCCTTCGATTTATAAATAAAAGAGAGAATACAATCTAATTATAACCAATTCAAGAAGGTAAAATTAAAAGACTAGTACAAATAATAGAAATTAACTATATTAAGAAATAAAATTACCCTTATCAAACAGTTAAAAGAATATAATAAACAACGCCGTCAACAATAAGAATAATAATAACTAACAATCTAAATTATTACCCCAATAACCAACAATTATTATCAAAAAATAAATAAGAGTTCATTATCCTTATTAAAATCAATAGACTCGCCGCTACTAATACTCTCAATAATATTTATATATATATAAACAATCCCTCTACCTTCTTACTACCAACACTCTACCTCAAGCCGGTTATCCCATTTACACTAGTACTTACCTAATTCAATTACGTAATAATATACATCACCAACACCCTTAAATCTAACTTCGAATTTAATATTTTTACGGCTTTTATTATATACCCAACTATAATAGGTTCATTTATCTATATCTATAAAAGTAAAACCTTCTAGCACATTAGGAAATAAGGACATTCGTAGTACAATAACATAATCGGCGCCTTCAATAAACTATTAAGCATTAAAATAATCGTTTATAATATTTATAAATAAGACAAACGAATTAGAGCGAGAACTTCAATACTATAGGTTTATTTATTTATAAACAAAATAAATCTCGCTTAAGATTAATTTCTATTTAATTGTAACTACTATAGCTAGATTGCTGGGATTTGGTTATATGGGGAAGGTTATAGGAGGGAAAGAAAAGACAAAGGGGAAAAGATAGGGTACTAGAAGAATCGAATTTACAGAGCTCCGGGCTTTTACACTATCTCCCCTACTCTTTTTATTGGGTATGAAATGCACATATTCGAGCAGTATGCTTGCAGACCACATCTGATTTTAAAGGTTATATGAGGGGAGGTAAAAAATATATGCCCCGAAATTATACGGTATACGAGTGGTGCCCTGAGAAGCAAAGTGGAAGGGCGGGAGTGGGAGCGATGGCGGGAGCACCGTTGCGGCCATCCAGGTCCGGGTTCCAGCCAGCCAGCCAGCCAGCCAGCCCACTCCCGTCAGTCAGTGTGCGTGGACAACCCGTACCAACAAGTGGGTACAGTACCTTTTCACGCCAGCCTTTTGACTTGGAAAGACACACACAACAATTCACTATGTACAACAACAAAAAAAGGCGCGAATTGGTTGTGTAATTCTATTGAAAGTTGGCGTCAACAGACTGCGCGCCCACACTGCCATTCCCAGATGGGGAAACCCGCCGTCGCCTTGGAGGTTGACGGAGTGTGAGATTGAGCAGGACTTTCTGACGGACCAGAAAAAAAAAGAGTTGTTGCGGGCACAGCAAACCAAAATCAGCAAGCAGCCCGCGCCAAGGGGCACTGGCGAAGGGGCCCCATTTTATTTCTGTGAATACGATTGGTTTGCAGCGTCCTAGCTCTATCCAATATTTTCTGTCGCCAGGGGGCTATGGAGGAGAACGGCCTATGCAGGGACTCCTCCCTGGTCTGTGCTTTCTTGTAAACCTGTTGGTTTTGCACCTCGAGGCTGCGCCGTTTTCAAGACATGCGTGAACGAGACAATGCAACCAAACAATCAGATGCTAAACTGGTTTGTGTTACTGGTGGTCATACGCTCTGCATTTCGCCAATTCAAGGAACCAATGAACATTCTATGAGATTATTCATGTCGCAATCGTCTCAAGATTGTCAGTTGCTCGGTCACCCCAAAATTGAAGGTAACAATGCGTCGGCCTCAGTCGTGACTCTGGCAATGGATCCGAATGAAGGCTATGGCGATACATCAACTCCTTTGCAGCAGACTAAGCCGCTTGTGTATGTACCCCATAGCGGGACCCATATCCCAGCCTGCAGGCCAATGCAACCCTGTAACGGCATGCAATCCATTCTCAAGCGCCGCCGGTCCAGAATGGCTGAATTGCCAACCAGTGGGTGGATGGATGGATGGCTGTGGACGGGTGTGCTCGGTTGGTCCGATCTGGGAGGGTGGTGGTGTTGGATTTCCTTTCTCCCTCAAAATTGTGCACTCGGGATTGCCCAGTCAATGGTCATTGTATCGGTTTCGTTCGAAGGCGTCTATTGAACCTCAACAACGGCATAGAGAGACGCAGGGTTGGCGCGGTCTAACATGTTGCAACAACACCGGGGACGGGTAGAAACGGCGAAAGAAGGACGACGGTGACGAGGACAACGACAACGACACCACACGATGTCCCGGCCCTCGGCGGTGAAGGCGGAAGGAACATGAGCACTTTGCCGGCTGCTCCCTTGTGGTCTTGGCATGCAAGTGAACAAGCCGCGCATCCCCATTCGATGAAAACGTGTGCCTGGCAGACAACGGTCGATGTGTATCGACTGTGTGAAGATGCGGAGCTCTCCTTTTACCACCGCAAGGGCCGGGCCGAAAGTCGGTCTTGTAGTGTCCAAGTCTAGCAGGCTGATAAAGAAGTGCATTGCAGTGAGACGAAGACATTGACAATGAGTTCGGATATCGCGCCTTTATCTCTGAAGCTCTGAAGCTCTCAGCAGTGCCGAGTGGGGGCTACCATGTAGAAGTAGCCAACAGTTGAACAGTTCGGTGCGTCCGGTGCCATCGCGGCTGGTTCCGAGAGGTGATCGCCTGTGACAGCTCCTTCCCGACTGGGCTTGGGCTGAAGGACAGAAGGAAGTGTTCTGTAGTGTTGAGAAAAAAGGAACGTCGAGGACAGGACGATCAACCAGTTTGAGCGAGGAGTTGCAGATTGGGTTGCTCAACAACTAACACATTGAATTCAATCAGTGCAGTGTACGGCCAGCCTGCAGATATCAAGGCTGCAGAAGTGGAAGGTTAGAAAGGAACAACAACAGGGCACACCGCCTGCAACTTGTTCCTGACAGCAGACCCGACATGATCTTGCATTTGGTGCCCTCTTTGCGGCTGCGTTGAACTCGCGGCATCTCACTCGGCCTCCAGGGGCTCGTCAATTCAACAAGTATGAATGGCCATCAATTCAGGAACAAGACGCCCGACTTCACGAAGTCAGCAACAACTCCGGCGAAGCGGCCCATGGTAGCCAGCTTCACTTTCGATCCGCTGTGGAGTCTTTTCACAAGGAGAAGGGAAGCCGGCACAGAGAAAACGAATGGAATTCAAATGGAAAGACAGGAAAAAGGAGAACAACGCAAGAGTTCCTTCCTGGCCAGAAGCTTATTGAGTGGGGCCATCCCAGCCACGGCACGGGCACGGCGGCAGCAGCGAACGGTCCATCTGTTTTCTCCGAGTCCAGTCCGTTTCGTCCGTCTTGTGCCGTACCGCTGGGTGTCAGCTGTCAGGACGGATTCAGGAATTGCGCATCTTCCATCGTGTGATCTTTCACCCAAGTTCAACACCCCTCAAGTTCTGGACTCGGGACGGACTTTTTTCGTAAAAACCATGTGAAGATCTCGAGATGAGAGAGCAGATTTGTTTGATTTTCTCGCTGCCCAATTCTACCCACCTTGAACACCCCAAACCCCCAACCGACAACGCCCCCC